CCTCAGCCCGGCGGGGCCCGGCCGGCCCGCCTCCTGCTCCCGGCCCTCCGTCCTGCGCTGGGAACAGCCCTTCGAGACCTCCCACCTCTGCCTGCAGCACCTCCAGACCTTCCGGGTGGAGGGTGGGAAAGGCGCAGTGTCCCTGGCAGCCGCTGCACAGGTGCAAAGCTGCCTGAAGGGCCCGAGCGGCGCCACCGGGCGGCAGGGGTAGAACAAAGGGCACAAGAGGCGGCCAACGTGGCTTCACTAATCGTGCCCAACCGATTTGGTGGCCTAAGACAAGGCTGCAGAGATGGTGGATAGTGGCGGGTGATAGATGTCGTCTGCCTGGAGTGGTGCAAGGCGTTTGACACGGTCCCACACGACGTCCTGGTCTCCAAACTGACCAGACATGGATTTGACAGCTGGAGCGCTCGGTGGATCCGTGACTGGCTGGAGGGCTGTGCTGGAGCTGGGCTGGAGGCTCAGGGTCCCAGCGGAGGCGAGTGAGGAGTGGTGTTCCCAGGGGTCAGTGCTGGGACCGCTGCTGTGCAACGTCTTTGTTGGAGGCATGGACAGTGGGACTGAGTGTATCCTCAGCAAGTTTGCTGACCATGCCAAGCTGTGAGGTGTGGCTGACACCCCAGCGGGGAGGGATCCATCCAGAGGGGCCTGGACAGGCTGGAGAGGTGCCCAGGGTCAACCTCATGAAGTTCAACAAGGCCAAGTGCAGGGTCCTGCACCTGGGTCAGCGCAGCCCCAGGCACCAATCCAGGCTGGGGGGAGAAGGGCTGGAGAGCAGCCCTGAGGAGAAGGACTTGGGGGTGGGGGTAGATGAGGAGCTGGACATGAGCCACCAGGGTGTTCTCGCAGACCAGTGGGCCAATTGTGACCTGGGCTGCACCAGAAGAAGCACAGGGAGGTGATTCTGCCCCTCTTCTCTGCTCTGGTCCTGCAGCACAGGAAAGGCATGAGGCTGTTGGGGCCAGAGGAGGCCACCAAGATGATCAGAGGGCTGGAGCAGCTCTGCTGTGATGACAGGCTGAGAGAGTTGGGGTGTTCAGCCTGGGGAAGAGAAGGCTCGGGTGAGACCTTAGAGAACCTTCCAGTGCCTGAAGGGGCTACAGGAAACCTGGGGAGGGGCTTTTCATCAGGGAAGGCAGTGATGGGACAAGGGTGATAGTTTTCAACTGAGAGAGGGGAGATTTAGGTTAGATATCAGGAAGAAATTCCTCATCATGAGGGCAGGAGGGCACTGGAACACGTTGCCCAGGGAGGTTGTTGATGCCCTTCCCTGGAGGGGCAGGTTGGATGAGGCTTGTGCAGCCTGGTCTGGTGCAAGGCGTCCCTGCCCATGGCTGGGAGGTTGGAACCTGGTGATCTGTGAGGTCCCTTCCAGCCTTCACCGTTCTATGATGATTCTATAAGCAGCAACATCAGTCACTTTGGCCTCTCAACAAGCAACACTAATGCTGTACGGGGGTAACACCCTGAGACTAGTTAGTTGGAAAGTCAGCCTTGCAAATGCTGACACACAAACCCAGAACAAGGGCCAAACTCGCCTAAAACAACCCCAAATTTGTCAAACTTCTCAGCACGCCACAGGGGCAGGCACACTTTGTTCGTTATTCCGTATGACTTAATTTTGATTTGCCCCAATTGCTGTTGAATTGCTTTAAGTCGCAACATCAAAT